GTATAATTACATTCAGTATGGTATTCATTCATTTTATCCCATCATCACTGTCAGTGGTTTGTCTGGGGGTTTTTTACAAAATTTGTTGTAGCATGTATCCTAATCTATGTTAAAATACGTGGGTTTTTTCTTTCTCTTACACATTATAATATTTGCAAACTTTAGGTATATTTTTTAAAATGTTTTTAAACTGTAACTTTTCCAGCCAGTGTGTATAATGCAAGGTTTTTGCTTTCATTAATAAATAAAAAAAAGTTCAAGTTAATTCAGACTCTTGGCGACCCCAACTCATGGGAACCAGAGGGTATATCAGATAAGATTTGTACTACACAGGGTTTTCATGATTGATTTTTTTTTAAAGAGATTAGCAAGCTTTTTCCCAAAGCACCTCTAAGATGAAGGATTCTCATTTGCACTATCCAGGGACCTCCTCCATTTCTGTAAGTCAAATCCAGCTACTCTTTAGTGTTTTCAAGGCTTCTTCTTTGATTAGTAATAAAGAGTTGCAGTGCCAACTCAGAGGCACCCAGTTTGAACTGACCAACTGCTCTGTAGGAGGAAGATGGGCCATGTCCTCTTATGTGATTTACTGCCCCTGAAAACCTGCTGAAGAGTCAGCTATGAGTTCTTTCACAACAGTAGTCTTCGTGGAAGCCAGCTGCTACATATTTCTGTGAAGGAGCTGTTTGGTTTGAACCTCTGATATTTTGGTTAGCACAGAAAGTTTTAAGTACTCTGCTACCAATTCCAGCCACTCTTAATTAACTATTAATACAACCAAACAAAAACATTCACTCTTTGCTCTGGAGTTGATTCCCACTCATAGCTACCCTCTAGTACACAGTAGAAGCTTTAGGAAGCAGACAGCCACATCTTTGTGTAACAGAGTGGCTGATGAGTCCTATTTCCTGGCCTTGGGTAGCAGCCCACCTCCTTTAACAATTAGCCCCTTATTGTTGTTCTCTAGTGCCATCAAGTTGGCTAAGACTCATAGCAACCCTATGACACTTCCCCTTTCCTGTGTCAGTCTCACATGGTCAAGCCTCTTTTTAACAGTGATTGCATCAGTCCATCTTGTTGAGGGTCTGTCTTACTTTCTCTGACCCTCTACCTTTCCCAGCATAGTGTCTTGTCACAGAGGCTGGCCACTTCTGACAACATGCTTAAAATAAATGAGTTGAAGTTTTAGCATCCTTAGCTCTAAGGAATACCTTAGTTGTGCTTCCTCCAAGACGGACTTGTTTGTTCTTGTCCATAAAATATCCAGTATTGTTCAACGTCACAATTCAAAGACATCTATTCTTCTGACTCCTCAATTAACAATGGCCAAAACTAAAAATGCAATACCAGCAGTGAGTCCATTCTGACTCACTGCAAACCTCCACTGAGTATTTTTTGGGAATGTAAGGAGACAATCATTCCACAGCTTTTCTGGCATTCATTACTGGTCAGTATCTCAAACCTGTTCTTAAAATGGTTGTGTTTTGTTTTTTTTTTTTTAATTCAGGTGAAATGCACAGGAAAACGAAAAAGCCAAAATGGGTGTCAGAAGAAACTGAAAATTGCATTAGACCATAGAGAAGCCAAAACAAAGGGAAGAGAAGCTGAAGTAAAAGACCTGAGCAGAAGATTTCAACAGACAGTTTGACAAAACAGAAGTATTATAATGGAATGAATTCACACCTCAAATTACTGAAAAATGCCATGAGCAAAATCTTGATTGATCCAAGAAGCATTAAATGAAGGTGAAAAAAAAATTCAGAGTCAGTCACTGTATCAGAAAGAACTGGTCAACCTGGAGAAAACTTAGGAAGCACCATATGAACAAGACCCAATAATAACAAAGGAAGAAGTTGTGTGGAAGACAATGGCAAAAAAATAAGGCCCCATGAATAGATGGGATATTGATTGACATTTCTCAGCTAACAGATGCAACTCTGGCAGTGCTCACCAGTCTGTGCCAGAAAATTTGGAGGATAACGGTCTGGCCAAATGACTAGAAGAGATCTGTATAAGTTGCCATTCCTAGGAAAAGTGGTCCAGCAGAATGTGGAAATTGTCAAACCATATCGTTAATATCACATGCAATCAAAGTATTCCAGAAGATCATGCCAAAACAACTTTTTAGCAGTACATTGACAGGGAACTGCCAGAAGTTCAAGCCAGATTTAGATGAGGCCAGGACACCAGGAATATTATTGCTGATGTCAGATGCATCCTGGGTAAAAACAAAAACTATCAGAAGAATCTGTTTTATTGTCTTTGCAAAGGCATTTTACTGTGTGGTTCACAACAAATTACGGTTAACATGGAGAAGGATGTGAATCCCAGAACACTTAATTGTGTTCATAAGAAATCTGTATACCTCGACCAAGAAACTGTTGTCTGAACAGAATAAGGGAATACTGGTTTAAAATCAGTAAGGGGGTGTGTCAAGGGTGTATCCTTTCTCCATACCTATTCATCTGTATGCTAAGTAATTTGTGAAGCCAGGTTCTATGAGAAGAATGTGGCATCAATATCGGAGGAAGACTCATCGATATCTGTGCTATGCTGATGATACAACCTTGTTTGCTGAAAGCAAGGAGGACCTGAAGTGCTTTTTGCAGAAGATCAAAGACTAGAGCCTTCTGTGTAGATTGCATCTTAACACCAAGGCAAAGGTTCTTAATACTGGACAGCATCGTGATAAATGGAGACAAGATTGTTAATCATTTTGTCTTGCTTGAATCCACAATCAACACTCTTGGTACCAGCTGTCAGGAGATAAGGAAATTTATTGCTTTGGACAAGTCTGCTGTTGGGGAAGAGCAGTGATGTCAGTTTGAAGACTTAAGGTTTCCCTGATTCAGGCCATGGTATTTTCAGTCACTTTGCATTGGAAATCTGGGCAATGAATAAGAATGACAGAAGAAGAATTGATGCCTTTGAACTGTGATGTGGAGAAAAGTATTGAATATGTCTTGGAAAATGTGCAACAGGAGTGCTCCTTGGAGGCAAGGATGGCAAAGCTTTGTCTCTCATACTTTGAACATGTTGCTAGGAGAGGCTGTTTGTTGGAAAAAGGTATCATGCTTGGAAGGGTGGAAGTTCAATGAAAGGGAGGATGACCCCCATCAAGATAGATTGACAGAGTAACTGCAGCAATGGGCTCAAGTGTATCAGAGATAGTGAGGATGGCATAGGATAGGACTGAATTCAGATCGTTTGTAAGGTTGCTGAGTTGTACTCAACTTGAAGGCAAGTGACAGTGACAACAAGGAAATTGTAAAGCAGCTGGTGGGTCGGAAAAGATTTTTCATTTAGTTGTCCAGATTTAATCTACTACCCACCAGGACCCCTAGTTAACTCACTCATTGCTGTGGAGCCAGAACTAACTCATAGCTGACTGATCAGCAGAATTTTGTTTTTTATTTGTGGTTTTCAGGGAGATTGCCTAACTCTACTAACTGTGGAGCAGTTCTGATTTACTGTGAGTAGAGCAACCTTTGGGTTGGCAGCACAATTCCTCACAAATAGACCACCAGAGCTCCATTTAAATTATTAAGGTAAGCATTTAAATTTAGTTACCTTTTCAGTCTATATCTGGAACACATTACTCAGGAGTCTGGACTTTATAAGGAGGGATGTGGCATCAGGATTGAAGGAAGACTCATCAACAACCTGTGATACTCAGATGACACAACCTTGCTTATTAAAAGCGAGGAGAACCTGATGTATTTGCTGAAGGTCAAACACTGTAGTCTGCAGTATGGATTGAAGCTCCACATCAAGAAAACAAAGATTCTCATCACTGGGCCAATTGGCAGCACCATGATAGATGAAGAGATTGTTAATAGCTTCAACTTGCTTGGGTCCACAATCAACATTCTTGGCACTGGTAGTCAGGAAATCAAAAGAATTGCATTGGGAAAATATGCTGTCAGGGACCTTTCCAGAGTACTGAGGAGCAATAATATCAGTCTAGAGACTAAGGTTCACCTGGTCCAAGCCATGGCCTTTACAATTACTTGCAATGAATCAGAGAGCTGGACAATGAATAAGGATGATAGAGGAAGACTCAATGTCTTTGGGTTCTGGTGCTGGAAAAGAGTATTGGATATATCATGGACTGCCAAGAGAACAAACAGATCTGTCCTGGAGAAGGTGAAACCAGGCTGCTTCTTGGAAGCAAGAATTTTAAAGCTCCAACTCACATACTTTGGGTATGTGACCAGGAGGGGCCAGTCATTTAGGAAGAACATGCTTGGAAAGGTGGAGGGAGATAATAGGAGAGACCCCAGATGAGATGGACTGACACAGTCATTTGAATAAAGGGAATAGGTGTGTCAAAGACAGAATGGCTCAGGATAGAGCAGTGTTCAGAGCTATTTTACATAGGGTCGCTATCAGTTGTAAGCAACTTGATGGCACACAAGAAAACCAAACTTAAATCGCCCTGCTGATGCAATGATTAAATATTCGGCTATCCGAAAGGTTGGTGATTTGAACTCATCAGTGACTTGTCAAGAGAATATGTCTGCTTCAGTAAAGATGTATGTTGAAAATCCTATGGGGAATTTCTATTCTGTTCTGTAGGGTCACTGTGAATCATAATTCACTTGATGGCAGCAATTACTAAATATGTATTTTAGTACTTGAGGATAGACAGTGCTTTTCCTTACTCTTTTCCCCTAGACAAAATAGTGAATATTTCCTTCTGGCCTGGAATTTTACAATCCAGTGATGAAAAATATCCTGTCTCATTTTTCTATGTTGTCTGCTTTATTTCTCATATGGAGTCATTTGACTTTGGGGACAAGGGCAAGGCTGTGCCCTTAGGACCAGTCAGGAGCTCCCATCACCTGCAGGCTTAGGGGCTGGACTAGGTCTGAGCAAAGTGCCCACTTGGGCCAGGTTACCGGCCTGTGGCTTGGACAGGGGGCGGGCTCAGGGCGGGGTCAGAGGGTCACGCTCCTATTTCTGTTGGCCTATGCAGCCGTTTGCTCTGAGCACCCACGATGGTGGCTAAAGCCGCTCTGATCGGTTCTGATAGGCTGCGAATTCTGCTCTGGCTGGGCCTGCTGCAGCTGCTCCTTTTGTTGCAGCTGAATGCAGAGGCCGCCAAGTGGCTGCGAGAACTTCTACCAGCAGCCCCTCTCGTTGTGGAGCCCCTTCTCTCTGTACCCTCCCAGGCTCCAGGTGTGGGATGGTGAAAGTCAATGGAAGGGGGGTGGGCACTGTTGATCCCAGAAAAGGGGCAGCTAGGTGGATCTAGTGGTGACCAGTGGCAAGCAAGGTTCATGTGGTGGACAGGCGGCGTTGGCGGCTGCTGCTGCTGCTGCTCCTGCTCCCCCCCCCGCCCTGCTGCTCCCCCCCCGCCCCCACTGTCCAGCTTTCGATGAGTAGCATCACCTTCAGTAGTAGTCTATTATTAAAAATACTTTCTTTATATTGAATATTTTTGTCTAAAACGTTTAAAAAATTTGAGATTTTAACGAAAATTTATAGAGAACTTGAATTTCCATTCATTCATTGTTGCATATTTTCCTCCTTATCCTCCCCCGACCCCACCCAAGTTCACTTTCCCCTCTGAAAAAAGAGGCTTCTTGCCCAAACACAAATGTACAGGGCTGGAATCAGCCTTAGGGCTATCTCAGAGAGGGAGGGGCTGTGTGAAGTGGGGATGAAGGAGTAAGAATCCTAACAGGTACTTTGGAGCCTTGAAGTCACCTGAAGTCTCATCTCTTCTTAGCCCTTTCCATTCAAGTAGGAGGCCTCAGACGCATCAACCAAGGTGAGTCTAGTTCTTCATTCACTGAAGTTTTTCCTGGGTGGGAATGCTCCTCAGGATCTAGGTATGGAGGCCTTGAAAAGTGAGTGAATGGCAAGGAGACACTCAAACTAAGTGGAGAGAAAGGGCAGCAGAACGGTTGAAGTGAGGAGTCACTACACTTATGAATTATGAGCCCGTAGAGGAACTGTGACTTACCCCTGATCACATAATCATCACAGAAAATGTTTGTTTTCTAACTCCAGCTTCTGTTCTCAGTCTCTTTCCCCTGGCTATTGGCGTGAGATAGAGAAGGCACAGCCCCTCAAAAGCCATGGCGCTGCATTAATAATAATCTCAAAGACTCTCATCTGCAGATAGGTATAGAGATGTCTTAGCTGAAGGCAATAAGGTCTATGATGTGCCTGCCATATGACCTGACCAAGGGATGGTGCTGGGGATACTGCCTTGAGCTACTTCGGCTTCTCTTAGCCACTTTTGTCGCACACTCCACCAAGCTCCTGAGCCCTCATTTCCATAGGATTTTCAGTTCTTGGAAGCTCAACCCTCAGTCATTTTGGTCAGGCTACTTTTCCTTTGGCTTAACTTTCCCTTGGTGGAGGGAGTTGTTGTGTACCATAGAGTCAGAACCGACTTATAGCTGACCCACTGGCAGGTTTTCAGAGGCAGTTATTTGCAAGGGAGGGTATTTTCATCCTTCCCCCATGGAACCTTGAATTTGAACTGTGTGCCTTTGGGATTGCAATGCAGCTTCTTGCCACTAGGAAAGTGACATTCTAGGGTATCACAAGTATCTCTAACTTAATTGTGGGGTGTTGTCTCCACAGTATGCGGGAAGCCCAAGGTGATGGGAAAAGTCTTTGGTGGCCAGGATGTGGTGGCTGGCCGCTGGCCATGGCAGGCCAGCCTTCTCTACCAGGGTGTGCACCTCTGTGGAGCTGTCCTCATTGACACTCAATGGGTGGTTTCTGTTGCTCATTGCTTTCTCAAGTAAGTAAACCTTCCTTGGTGCCCCCAGTGCTGACTAGAGGAAGAGGATGGAAAAAAAGGGGGGGGGGTAGAGGAAAGGTAAAAAAAAAAGTTATATGTCTTTCTCCTTTGTACTTTGCTATGGTACAGTCTACTGTCGCCTAACGTATGGTGCTGGTCTTGCCATTAACCCAGCAGTTTTTTCCACCTGAAATCTTCCCATTTAACTCAGAGTTGCACTGATAAACCAAAAATAGGCTGTTCAAATCTACGAACTTCTCTGCAAGAGAATGTCAAGTATTCTCCTCCTGTGCAATTTACAGTCTTTGAAAACCCACTGGAGCTATGAGTCAGTCTGACTAGACAGCACATACCAACAACAACATCTGCTTTACGGAGCTCTGGTGGAGTAGTCTTTAGGGAGTTGCACGGCTAACCCAATGGTTGTGCCTTTGTGCAAGTTTCAACCCAATCAGCAACTCAAAGGGAGAAAGATGGGAAGTCTCCTTCCATGCCATTTACAACCTCAGAAACTTAGTGGAGGGTTAGCTGTGAAATCAGTTCTGACTCGATAGCAGTGAGGTGGTTTTGGTTAATATTTCTTAGCTTTTACCCTCAGCCCCTCCTTGCCTGCTTGTTGGTCACCTCCTGCCTTAGCTCAGGGTACCCTTATGGAAGATTCCTGTGTCTGTCTTATTCATCACAAATGTACTTTTCAATAGCAGTGTCTATCTTGGTCATGATGTGATTTGGACAAACTCTTTGTCACTTGTTTTTATGTGCCAACAAGTCACCTGTGACCTTCTGGTACAGCAGCTCTGAACTCTGCCCTGTCCTAAGCCAGTTTCACTGATTCTGACACACCTACCCCCATTGCCCCAGTCACTGTATCAATCCATCTCATCCAGGGTCTTCCCCTCCTGCACTGTCCCTACAGTCTTCCAAGTATGATGTCTTTCCCTGAAGACTGGTTTCTCCTGGTCAGATGCCCAAAAAATATGTGAGACAGAGCTTCAAAATCCTAGCCTCTAAGTAGAAACTTAGTTTCACCCTCTTCAAGACAGACCTATAAGTTTTCTTGGCAGTTCATGGTATGTTCAAGTCTCTTCTCCAGCACCACTATTTGAAGACATTGATTCTTCTCTTGTAATCCTTAGTCATTGTTTCCTATAGGTAAAAAAATTTTTCTGTTATTAACATGGCTGTTCAATTTTTACTCCTGTGAGTCAGAATCTGTAACATGTACTCAAGTCATTTCTGCCAAGTCACAACAAACTCATAGCTGACCTTCAGTGGGTTTCCAAGGAGATTGCATAGCTTTCTCTCTTGGAGTCTCTGGAAGATCTGAACTGACGGCGAGGTCTGTGGGTTAGCAGTGTAACTTCCTACAGAGTAGGCTACCAGAGCTCTCTGTAACATGTATTTTTACTGTTTTTATATGTTGTCGAGTCAGCTACAACTTTAATGACCCTATAAACAATGGCTCTGAATCTTGTATCCTAAGCCTTATGATATCTGACACATAGAATCCCATTGCCACAGTCCTGTGTCAGTCCATCCCATCCAGAGTCTTCCTCTACTGTACTGACCCTCTATTTTTCCAAGCATGATCCAAAGACTGATCACTCCTGGTGACATACTCAAAGTGTGTGAGATGGAGCTTCAAAATCCTTGCCTTCAAGGAACAAACTGGTTTCACCCCCTTCAGGACAGACATTTGTTCTCTTGGAAGTCCATGGTATTTTCAATACTCCAGCACCACATCTCAAATATGTTGATTTTTCATCTGTCATACATACTTATTTTCTCAGATGCATAGTAAGCAATTGAGAAGACCATGGCCTGGATCAGGCACACCTTAGTCTCTAGACAGACATAGTTTAGCACTCTGGAGAGATCCTTGACAGCAGATAACCTCCAATCATCCATCAGGTAGCTGTTCTCCAGATTTCTTGGCACAGTCTGGTGAGCAGTGTTCCCCTTGTTCTGTTTGAGCAAACTACTTCTTGATTTTTCACCTGAGTACAATTAGATCTTTTGTGATTCCAGTTCTTCTCAATGTTGGATCCACATTAGTCAGTAAAACACAGTAAACATTTTTCTGATATTCCCTGCCTTCAGACTAGATCCATCCGTCTGACATCAGCAATGTTGTGCTTGCCATAGTCTCTTATGAATCCAGCTTTAATTTCAGGCAGTTCTCCATCAGTGTACTATTCCAGCCATTTAAAAATAATTATCATGCACACCCATGTTTATCATGGCTTTGTTCACAATAGAAAGGAGTTGGAAACAACCTAAGTGCCCATCAACAAACAAATGGATAGAGAAGCTTTGGTATATTCACACAATGGAATACTATGCTGCATTGAAAAACAAGGAACTCATACAATATTCAAAATGAGTGACCTTGGAGGACAGTATGCTGAGTGAAATATCTCAGTCACAAAAGGACAAATGCTGCATGGTGCCACTGTTTTAAAACAGGACTGACATCGGGGGTTGGGGGAGACTGAGAAAGATGGTATAAATTATATATACTGCATTGAAATAGATGAGGAAGAAAACTGTTTAAAAGGGATATGTGATTAGGTATTTTTTGTCATGACAGGAGTCCAGAACAAAGGCTGCATAGTGGAGTGGCCCTGGGGGGAGGGATTGTAAAACAATGAAATGATTTTTCTTTTACTTTGCAAAGAGAAGAGTGTACTGGGGGAGAGGGGTGGCAGGGAGAAAAGTGTAACAAGAATGAATGGAAATCCAAAGTCTCTGTAAATTTTCATTGAAATTAATAATAAAAAAATTTTAAGAAATATTAAAGAGAAAAAAAAATCTTCAGCTTAAATACCTGTCACATCAAAAATATTTTCCAACACAGTGAAAAGAAAACCTACTGACAAGGAAAAAAAATTGACAATACCATTTCAGACAAGAAGCTCATATCAAAAGCTTACAGAATCCTACAGGGCTTCCACAGAAAAAGACTGATAACTGTATTACAAAATGGGCAAAACACATGGAAATAACTTTTCACAGAGCAAGATGTTTGGATGGCCAAGAGACAAATGACGAAATGCTCAGTATCACTGGCAATAAGAGAGAGATGAAAGTCAAAACCACAATGAGATACCATCTCAGCCCAGGAGCAGTGGCAGAGTTTAGCAGCACAGTAAGTAATGTCAAGAGGATGTGGAGACATAGGAACTCTTAATACACTGTTGATGGGGTTGTAAAACGGTACAACTACTCTGGAAGGCAGCTTGACACTTCCTCAAAAAGCTGAACATAGAAATTCAGCTATTCCACTACTTGGAATATTCCCAGAGAAAATGATATCTGAGGCACAACGTTCATAGCAGCATTATTCACCTTCTCAAAAACATGGAAACAGCCCAAATGTTTAACCACAATCAAATGGATTGAAAAATGGTACATTCACACGATGGAATACTATGCAGCATTCAGGAGCAATGATTTTGAAAATTATTACATAGCATCGGCTGGACTGGAGAGCGATATGCTGATTGAACTAACTCAATCCCATAAGGACAAATACTGGATAAGATCATTATTGTAGAAATAGATAACTGGTAAAACATGTATTAGGATCCAATGGGAGAGGTAGGAGCAGAGATGAGAATGGTCAGAGGGATAATTATAGGGTTGTACAATTTGATGCGTAGACGGAGGGGTGGATAAAAGAAATGGGAAAGATGTGGTGTGGAAAAAAATATGTATGAACTTTGTAAGTAAACCAGGATAAGAAAAATTTTATAAAAAAATCTTTAGCAAGATTTTACTGAATGTAATATTAGTGTTAATTGTTTGATAATTCCCACATTCTGTTGTGTTATCTTTTTTGGAAATAGGAACAAATTTGGGTCTCTTCCAATCGTTTGCCCAGGTAACTGTCTTCCAAATTTCTTGTCATAACCTGATGAGCATGTCCAGGCCTGTATCTGTTTGTTGAAACATGCCAACTGGTATTCCATCAAATCCTGGGGCCTTATTTTATTGCCAGTACCTTTAGCACAGCTTGAACTTCTTCCTTTATTGCCCTTGTTTTTTGATTATAGGGTGAAACCAAGCTGCTCCTGGGAGGAAAGAATATTGAGACTGTCTCTCATACTATGGGCATATAGCCAGGAGAGACTAGTCTTTGGGTTAGCTTAGTGTTCTTTTTATATTTGTTGGAAATTTTGGGTGAAGTAGTTTATGTTATTCTTTTCTTATTTTTTTCTGTTTGTTCATTACTATGAACTGATCTCTGAGGACTGTCTTTGCTGTATCCCAGAGCTATTGAATTTTCATTCATTTAAAGGAATTTAAAAATTTTATCTATAATCCTGTACTGATCAAGCAAGGTGTTATTTAGCTTCCATATAGTGGATTTTTCAGCCTTTATACTCTTGTTAATTTCTAGTTTTGTGTATTATGGCCCCAAAAGACACTTTGTATTATTTTAATGCTTTTCAATTTATTGAGGTTTGGTTTGTGCCCTAATATATGATAATTTTTGGAGGATGTACTATGTGTGCTTGAGAATAAAGCAAACTGGATTTTTGCTGCCTAGAATGCTCTGAATACATCTGAGGTTGAGTTGGCAAATCGTATAGTTTAGTTCTTCTGCATATTTTTTTAAGTTTTTTTCAAATTAACTTCTTTTTCAGTGAGAGTGGTGGGTTGAGTGTCCTCGTACTATTGTGGGGTTGTCTTTTCTTTCTTCAAGTTTATTAACTGTTTTATGTGTTTTGCAGGTCTATTAATTGGTACATTGGCCAAAGTCCTCTTTGTCTAATGTGTTTTTGAGCATTATGTAGTGTCCTTCCCTATCTCTTATGCCAGTTTTCACCTTCAAGTAATATTACCACTCATTTCTTAGGAATGTCATTTGCTTGGTATGCTTTTTTCCTCACTCTGCTTTTTTGTTCTTAAATATAATTTTTATTTTGTACCAGTTTACATACAAAACTCCTATACATTGTTTTTCACATCACATATTTCCTATTTCCTTTACCCAC